TGCTCCAATTAGAGCACACTTACAGTACAGAAAAATGCATGAAAATACTTGATAATTATTTTACAAAAGAGTAGCTATTCATACAACTTCATTGAAAAACATCAGTCAAACTCATTAGGGAAAAACAAAATCGAATGTGGAAATCAATAAACAGATCATTCTCTCTCGTTAACAAAGGGAATATACCAGAAATTTCAACATTATCGAGATCATTTGGTATAAGCATAACAAATAAACCAGTAAAATCATTTTAATCTTTTCTAAACCAAATGGAAATGACAAAAGAAGATTCAAGTATTGTCTACGAAATAAACTCCTCTAACCGCGAGAAACATTACGTCGTACAAAGTCAGTTCCCTTTCCATAGTCTCTTCTTTATGGACAGTAACTAGATTTCAAACGACACAATGTATCTTCGCTTATATCAAAACACGTGTTCAACCAGAAAAAAAATGTTGAGATTTTGGACAGAGGAAATACAGAGGAGGCCAGATAATTCTTAGTGGTTTGGCACTTAGATTTAAAGATGTCACAAGCATTCGTAGTTTGACAACGCCCTAACAAGTAACACATTTTATAATTGAAATGTACCAACCCAGTCAAATCAAAGGTAGAAAGTGAAGATGTTCGAAGATATATTTGATAGAATATCGATATATCGAGAAGTGATCAATCTAAGCTGGCTAGCGGTCATAGGAAATGTGAATCACGGAGTATCCACTAGTGATCTAGTACGGATTCGTGACCGAGTGCCCTCAACTAGGTGAGTCCATTAGAACTATTGCGGTCAGCACTAAATATCAAAGACTTACAGAGCTATTGATTTGGGGGATTTATTTAACCGCTACAGATTTATCACCAATCAATAAACACACTAAGATCAACTCAGTTTATCAATGAATGAGAGGATTCATGGACGAATTCAAACACCTACACCTGGAATTTATGCTGATATTATTCAGAAAAACAAAGAAAGCTTCATGATCAAATCATTCAGATCACAGAAGACAGTTCACATATATTATTGATATAACCACTTTAGAACCTACCTAATCCATTTTTTACTATTGTCAGTCAGCTACAACGTAGAACCACGAACATATGCGCATCGGTCCAAGTTGCCATGCATCATTAGCAAAAGATAAACACAACATTCAAAGAAGTGGTGATAATATATAAAAGAAAGATTGCATATAAGAACACAGTACAGGAAGAAAGATTTAGTACGTAGAAAGAAAGACATGGAGCGATTTTAATCTCTTAGTTTAAGGAAAGACAGAGAGTGTATACAACTACGCCATTGTGGTCGATTCTGAGCCGTATCTCTCAGAGTCTCCAGCCATTTTTTATGACAGTCACATGGACCCCAACTAAGTAGTCTGCATCTGCCAACATGGCTCAGACCAGAGGTTAGTGACTTCAAGCGCTGATGCCACGTTTTGGTTTGACCGCCTCTAACTTTCTTCCAATCATCCCCAACGCTAGTCAGTTAGCATTCCGCGTCATGGCAGTCGGTGTTCAGGCATACGCAACACGTGGCCCAACCATCTCAGTTGGTGAAGATTCATAACCTCATCAACTGATTTACCATCATTCCCCAATGCCCTACGTCTAACCTCACTATTATTTGCCCAGTGATCCCATCAGATGTGAGCAATATTTCTAAGGTATCTGTGGTCAAATACTAGTAGCTTACGAATATCTTCAACTCTTACCAGCCACGTTCCGCGGCCGTAAAGTAAAACAGAACGAACTACCGCGCAGTGTACTTGTTCTTTTATTGATAGACGGACATCTCGCCTTCGCCATAGGTGACGTAAGTTGGAAAAAGCCAAACGGTCAAATGGTCAAATACTAGTAGCTTACGAATATAGAAATAATCCAATTCCACGATTATTATTTATTTTATTTCAATGACAAAGTCTTTGAAGCAATGAAGCATGAGGCATTTTATCCTATTAACTGCTTACAAGCTTGATGTTCACACTGAGATATGAAACCAATATGTTTTTGCTTCAAATAACTATTTTATTCACTGAATTAATGAGTACAGACAGCTACTAACTTGTCCAACAGTACTGGGTTACCATACAGATACACATCAACACATGGATCGAAATATATTTAGCCAAGAAGTCTAGAGCAAAGTGAAACGCACACCATGGATCACCCTGGCAGAAATAATCCACCTTTAATAATCCCAGTATATCTATAAAAACGCCCCCAAATGCCCTGGTACGACCAAGAGTGGGGAGAGTCCGCTCTCCCTCTCCGAATTCTCTTACATGGCCACGCGTACATAGCCTCTACCAGGGAACTCCTACTCACTGCATTCTCGCACATCGGGTGTTGTTTACCGAATTGAGAGGACGAAAAGCGAATGTCCTACGCTTTAACCGGATTAGTGGACAAGGAGAGTCCACCTAGGGGAGTTGGAAAACCCCAATTCCGAACCAATCATGCATATGGGCTCCAGGATCCTGAAGGAATAGATGGCGTTTGAACCAATCGTTGGTCACTGGCTATAATGGAATTGCATCTCCTTGTGGTGCTCCACTGTCTTGTGGATCAGACCTTTATGTTGAAGGCTCCGGGTGTGGCCTCTAAGAAAACCATCTGCTTCGGTTTGGACACCCGGGCAGTATCACAGCACTTACACAAATCGAATGAGATTTATGTGGTGCATATGTATCTGGTGCCCCCTTGTACCAATATCTATGTGTTCAAATAAATAAATAAAAATAAAAACACAACTAGTCTGGATAGTTCACCGTGAAAATCATAATTTTCTTAAGAGACCATATGTTTATGAGAACTGAAATGTGAGATGTATGATTACATCATGTTATTTCGATCCCCGAGATAAATATTCACGAGAAAAACTATTCATAATCCTTTTTAATGTAAAGTGAGATTTAGTTTACAGTAATTTTCTATAACTTTATTAATCAAGTATAGATTATAGTCAAGCAGTTATCCGAATGGAATCGATCAAGAATGTGTAACGATCCCAGATGTTTTACCCCTTAAATGTACGAAGACGAAATAATCAAGATAAGAAGTTCATGAGATGAAATAATATTGACCTCAATAGAAATATGAACAGTTCGTAAGCGACAAATGATAGCAAAATAAAGTCAGGAACAACACATAACTGAATATTTAGGACAGAATTAGGCTACAGTTTAAGGACGAACCAATGAAATTAAAAACAAGTTTTAGGTCTATACGCGAAGTACATTCATTGATATGGCTAAATAACATCTCGACATTATAGCTGATGTTAGTTCGCGATGAAAACCCTAACTACTAACTTCCCAATCTAATTCCTCACATTAATGTATGACACTTTTTAACCTAGTAAGGTATTTTACCAACGTCACTTTGTCGTCCATCAAAAATAGTTCACATATTCTAGTCTCACCGAAGACTCAATTATACGATTCCGAACGATTACATACGACATCACTCATATCAAAGCAAGTTCATATAGCGGATCCTTAGATAAATGCTCTGGCATGAAACGACTCGGTTGACAAAACCGAAACAGCAAAATATTGGTCGATAGCTCTGTATCCAATTATCCCATTTAGCTCAAACTATAAAAGTGATAACTAAACTATTCATTATTTTGACAGATGTTTTCCCTTATCCATAAAAACTCACTTTTTCATCTAATCACTTTTGCAGTCTTATGGCAGACATAACTAACTTGAATAGGTTGTCATCCCCCAGGTCGTTATCTGTTACTGCATAATACACCATTCTAGAGTAAGACAGTGGTCTATTAGTTTAAAAATCAACCTTAACCTAGCTAATAGTTGTATCATTGGTATTCACCAGCAGAGAAATATTTGGAGCGAAATGAACTGATTCCTAATTGCACTAGGTTATGTCCACAGATAAGTGTCTAATAATCATAAGTATGCGCTTTAAAGTGCATTCCCAAATAACCACTAATGTCTACTATGCTTAATGAATATGTTGTATATTTGTAGCTTTGCTAAACTAAATTGATTCTCTTCTGTATCGATTTTCAGGAGCTAGGTATGATTTCCTGATCAAAAGTATTGAATGTTGTCAGATATGACATTTCAGTTAAGCGTATTGAATACTGTACTGTTCAAGTAACCATGACGTAAATTGTGATGATTGCTATCAGCAAAGTGGCCAGGAGCACCAATGCTGCTTCAGTATAACTAACAATACATGTGCAGAAATTGTGGGTAATCATACACATGTATCTGACAGTATTATGGTCCATACTCGGAAGTATGTAGAAGTCCTTGATCACATGTTTGTCATTAATATTAGCTTTTGTGGTCGAGATTCTTTAAAGAAACTTAAAACTTGACTTTATTACTCAATGCATAAGATTACTTTGCTGAAGTAATTGTTGGTGCAATGTAATATATTATACCTACAGTTGATACCTTACCTCACATAGACCCGAGCGTTGTTGCTACCTTAACGTGGTGGTCAGGCTTGCTACCGTGATGAACCAGTAAAGCTATACTGGCTGGAACAATCGTCCCTCAAGGGCCTACTACTCCAGACAGGTCGGTTGAAGAGCGGTAAAACTGAAAGCAGCAAACCTAAGGTCTGATAGCGAAGTCGTACTGCTGACTGTACAGAGGTGTGGCGGCAGTAACGTGTTCCCTTCAGAAAACCAGCATAACAACGATGCTACCTTCCCACGAGGGGTGGGGTTAGAAAAGGTCTACCCTAGAAATACACATCTTGTTTTATCCCACGGATATCCGTCTCCGGCGGTAAGGTCCCAACAAGCGTGGAGCTAACACGAAAATTACCCACAAATAGGTCGTGTGTGACTGACCTTAATCAGTTGTCCTTCGGACACTGAGGTTCTACGTTGTAGCTGACTGACTATCTCATATAGATAAGTGAGTACTATAAATAGGATACAAACCAATGCAAGTTTCTAATAAAATGTTTATTTTTGTATAGTCGTAAAGTACATGTAAAATAATATCTCATGTTCAATAGTGATTTCCTTGACGATATCTGTAGTCTGAATAACCATCTCCTGAAAAATACTTGTGATTAAAAGTAGAGAACTTACCTGAAGGCCTGATTGGTCCTCTTACACTCGTGCCGTTGTGAAAACTATCATATGGCTGATTAAAATCTGGTCTACTTGGACCTGAATTGTACCCTACATCTTCCGCATAATTTATATCATCATATTCATATTGCTGAGGAGGAAAGTTGGCGTATTGTGACCCTTGATGGCCTCTACTACTGTGGACAGGAGGAGATCGACGACTAGGAACTGGTGCATTGTTATTCTACAAATAAATAATGCAATTTCAACAGTGACTTACTATGCGAGACGAAGGAGAGATTCCCTTAGGGGTGGATGCTAAGAAAAGTTCGATGTAACGAGGCCCAATTTTTTCACGATCCTTCTTCATTGCCTCCTTCGCTTCATCATGACTGGCAAAATCCACAACTGCCTCTCCGGTGGGTCGATTAGCCTAAAATATAAAAAAGAGATTTGTTATTAAGACACAAGGAAAGAAAGTAACTAGGAAGTATGACGGCAACTTACCGCATTGAATTTTATCCGAATGTTGACTGGTTGTAAAGGAGAAAGGAAACGATTAATATCCTCTTTGGTCGCTGAGTATGGCAACCCTCTCATACGAACAGAATGCCCAGTCAAACTTTGTGGATCATCATATTCGTAATGTCCGGGTGGCCCGAAATTAGATCCTTTTGAGGGAGAAGGTCCTTCGAAGCCTCTGGGAGGAGAACTGTATCCCGGGTGTCCGAAAACATGTGGTGGTCGACCATAGGGCGTAAATCTTCCAGGAACTGGACCTCTGTTTGGACCTGACCCGTTTGGACTAAACGGGGGCGCATCATATCCTCCTCGGGAACCTCCATGATGACCTGTACCACCGGGATGACCATCACGACTTCCTCGACCGAACATCGGTCCTCGACTGGAACCACGGCTTTCTAAATACGTCATCTAAATTACTGTTTGAAAACTTACGATTTATTTCCATTTGGCGCTGTATGGTCGTGTTAGCCTCCATCATTGTACTTTCAAATATTTCAATGTATCTGAAAAAAGAACAACTGTGATGAAGTGAACCACCTGGAACAATAAATTCTATGACAATTAACTGACAAGTTGTTGACTTAAGCAAATAAATATTAAGCATCCCATACGACGGACCATTACGTAAAACATTAATAATAATACCCAAACCTCCCATCCAAACCCGAAAATATGCACCTGTGCCCTATCTTCTCCATATGTTTCTCCTTTGCCCGAGCTAGACTTTCAGAAGATGTGAATTGGACATACGCTTCCCCCGTGCAACGACCCATATGATCCACCAATAACCCGATACCGTTGGGAGCTATTTCCAGGCCTGCCGATCCCAAGAATTCATAAAACCCGAGAAATTAGGAAAGGAATGAAACAAATAAAACGATCAGACGTGTTATACTAAACAAGTTAGTAACAGCCTAAGATAAGCTCCTTATTTGACCAAAAGTAGCTGCAATCAGTAAAAGCGAAAAAAGCTATTAGAATGGGTTTAAACTTTCACAAATATATTTGGCTAACTGACAAAACGTATATATATCATGTTTTAGGGTTGCTATACAGCCAGTAATAAGTGGTGGGTCAAGAAGTGGTTCCGTATTAATGCCTATTGTGCTGTTGGTCAACAAATGTAGTTAACATAACACATTGACAAAAACGATGATTAATTACGGACTGTCTTCGGTTAGAAAACCATCTTAGATAATGCAGACACTACTATCCTTACTTTTTGTCTACCAATTTCCTTCTATTATGTTGTTGCAGTAATTCAGACTGATATATATTTGTGCGACGCTCTGTTTTGCTAATGATTGATTGGTAATTACACTGAAAAAATCCAATTAATATCTTGTTGACTACATGTTTACCCTACCTTTTCCAGCAAGTCTTGAGAGTTGGATCCGTTGTTGATGTTTACTTTTTGGAAGTCTTCTCGTAGCACTAAGCAACAATGCCAGAATGTTTGGAATGCGCTCCTCTCCCTCTAAATGCAAGTTGTTACTTCAGGACTGGTCTGCGTCAACACCTGAACTAAGGGTAGGGAGTGAAGTAGTCGAGCGCGTCGACAACTTCACTTGTCTTGGGAGTCTGATCAGACCAAATGGGTTGGTGTCTGACGAAATCTCAACACGAATTCGAAAAGCTCGTTTGGCTTTTGCCAACTTACGTCACCTATGGCGAAGGCGAGATGTCCGTCTATCAATAAAAGAACAAGTACACTGCGCGGTAGTTCGTTCTGTTTTACTTTACGGCCGCGGAACGTGGCTGGTAAGAGTTGAAGATATTCGTAAGCTACTAGTATTTGACCACAGATACCTTAGAAATATTGCTCACATCTGATGGGATCACTGGGCAAATAATAGTGAGGTTAGACGTAGGGCATTGGGGAATGATGGTAAATCAGTTGATGAGGTTATGAATCTTCACCAACTGAGATGGTTGGGCCACGTGTTGCGTATGCCTGAACACCGACTGCCATGACGCGGAATGCTAACTGACTAGTGTTGGGGATGATTGGAAGAAAGTTAGAGGCGGTCAAACCAAAACGTGGCATCAGCGCTTGAAGTCACTAACCTCTGGTCTGAGCCATGTTGGCAGATGCAGACTACTTAGTTGGGGTCTGTGTGACTGTCGTAACAAATGGCTGGAGACTCTAGCTGTTTCCATGAAAATCTTTGAAGACTATGTCATAAAGTAGTGAATTCATCTGGATGTATAATTAAACAACCTGTTCCTAACTGCTTTCCCCAAGTTTTAGTTTATTATCATTATATTTATGTGAACACATAAATATTTGTACAGAGGCACCAAATACATATGCGCCACACAGGTCAGTTGATTTGAGTGTGGGCTATGATACTACCCGGGTGCCCAAACCGAAACAGAGAGTTTTCTTAGGAGGCTACACCCGGAGTCTTCGACCTAAAGGTCTAATCCACAAGGCAGTGGAGCAACGCAAGGAGATGCAGTCCCATGGTACCTGGTGACCAACGATTGGTTCATACGCAATCTATTGCAACAGGATCCTGGAGCCCATGTGCACCATTGGTTTGGAATCAGGGTTTTTTCAACTTACCTAGGTGGACTCTGTGTCCACCAACCTGGTTAAAACCTCAGGACATTGCAAAATGAACGCCAATGTGAACTTTATCAGTACTTCCTAGAGTTGCTTAAATAATTTTGGACATTAATTAATATTGGATTGCTTGATGACACTAAGATTTGAAGACTAAATACCATTGTGAGCTGTAATGCAGCAAGTGTAGTTCAAACCTAGATGAGCAGACAAGCATAAGCTTAAAGTACTAACAGCCGGGAGGTTCATCATAGACAAACTAGAGTTGGGTTTTCTGATTAACTAAACTTAGGTGAGGTTAAATATACGGAATGTTTGTCATTAAGCTAACAGTAACTGGTGACTGACATGTCGTTCAAACTCGTACGATCAGTCGAAATACCAGAAATAAAAAGTGCTATTTTATAAGAACAAGCACACTCTCACTGTGAGCACAACAGGCCTAAATACGAACTTTCTCATTGATTAATAAGCAGTAACACTTTCCAGAATTTATTTGTTTATTTGAACACAAATATTGATATAAAGAGGCACCAAATACATATGCACCGTACAAATTTCATCTGGTTTGTGTGTGCTGTAATACTACCCGGAGCAGACTCCCCTCACTCGGCCGTGCCATGGTATTTGAGGGCAATTTCTAGAAGGCTTGTTTTGCATAAAGACAAAGGATCCTATCGTTCAAAGATTACCGAAACTCGGAGAAAAACTAGCTATATACAAAAGGCAGAATAACACTGAATTTGTTGCCTGATAAATATAGTGATTAAATCTGTTTAAGAACACACTTTACAGACCGCAGAAACGGCTACTATGCATTAGTCAAAACTACGAAGAAATGAGTCAGGGAAAAAACATCAGCTACCTTCAGGCAAACGGAGAGAAGTATTTCGGTGGACGGAACAGAAAACGTTAGGTTTCAAACGGCGTATTGTGCATATATGCTAGGGATCAAACTTTGGTGCTCAAACATAAAGTGAATCTAACTACCAAACCCTCTATCTATCAACGTATAGAAGCGGCCAGTAAAATACAACCACTCTACTGATAAGTGAGTTAACAAAATTTCCGGAGTCCAAGAAACAACTACATACAGTGTGGAAAACAGAAAAATATGATCGACACCAACTTACTGTCTTTGATAACACGAAAACTTACATAACACTACCTACAATGACATGATAATACTGATACATCATTACTACTAATGCGCAATAACTTGATACCCTAAGCACAACTTAGCGATGCAACGAATATTGGACAGTTACAGAATGACCATGTAAAATACTTCAGCTGAAAAGTAGGATTCCACACGTTCTTAGTAGCTTCGAACTTAATGAAAAATTATCAAGGTATCATACTTATATAAAGTCATTAGTAAGTGTGGAGGACAAAAACAAGCAGCTTTTGGCCTAAAGATAATTGCGTATAAGTAAAGCAGTAGCACCACAATGTGCGAGATACATTGTGTAAGTTTTAGAAACTAACGAGAGGTGACCAAATCAAGGTAACCTTTGTGAATGTCCGTTCTACGGATCTGAAGCTACTGCAGACTAGATAAAAACAGCGATCTTACAAACTATTGTTAGTTACTACATTTAACTACAAACCGATAGTCAAACAAACCGTGAAAACGCACTTACATATGCATTTAGATTATGTGGTCAGATGTTTTGACAATGCTTTGTGTCAATAGCGAAGCGCTTAAGCGCTGCGATTTTAGCTGATGCCAGTTCGTGATTAAAACCGTAAATCTAATTCCTAACACTGACTATCATTTGTAAACCATAACCCTTATTTTTCACATTGCTTTTGTAACCCTTGTGTACCCCTAGTAATTAGGTGGACATTACCAAGTCTACTTAGCGCCCATAAATTAGTCTCACCGACTAAGCACAGCAAGTACAATTTAAAATATCCAGAACAGAAAATACTCTAACTAAAACTAGTACTGACTACTAGTTCGCAAATACCTATTTTTGTTGCCTGTTTATACGAAGTTCTACGTTAGCTACGAAGAATAATAGAAAACGCTTACCTTCCCGTATATAATATAAACTAGTAAGAAGCAGACAACCAAGGATTACTTACCGTTAAAAAAGGCATATATCTCCTTTTTCTCAGTATCGTACGGAAGACCACGTAACCTAACAACATGTTCCCTCCGATTTGGCGAGTTGAAAGGTCTGCATCCCATAGCGTTATTCAATTCCTCAGAGCATGAATCAAATACTTTCCGGATTATTGGGTAGTCGTAAGTTACCTTCAATATAACGGCGACCCAAATGTTCATTATGATGAGTCATGGCTTTCTGTTTATCATCTCTACTTTCCAGTTCGATGAAAGCTTCTCCATTAGAACGGCCATTAGACCCTTGAGGAAAATATATGCCACGCTTTCCACCTCTTATCCTGCAATCTGCAAGAAATCAAAACACAGGCAACGGAAATACCGTTGAAAAAACTGATTATATCATCCGCATTCGCTGAGAACGGAAGACCCCTGATACGGACAACAAACGACATCACAAGCCCGCAAGCTAATCTTACAATATGGCGCGGTACAACTAACAGACCTTGACACCTTTAAACAATTTTCGCTCTTTAGTAGGAAGAACAGAATGGCAATCAATCTATGTTAATCCTTCCGATTTGGATTACTGTGGATATAAAATTTTGCTTCGAATTTATCAACGGTTTGTACTGGTATCATGTCTTCTAGTAGCGAATCGCAGTAATCCACTCCTTGATATGAGAGACGGGATCCCAGACGTAAACAACTTGACCCCGCTTTTCGAACTTTCTTAGTACATTCTCTCAGCTTATCAGTGATATGAGGGGATAGGACGTATCATTGCAGAGATCATTGTTCAGCATACGATATGCCAGTCTTTAAATCTTCAGTCATTTGCAATCAGCTAAACAGATGATTTTGTTACAGTTGGTAAGTCATTCACATAAAGTAAAAAACAGACTGAGGGCTGCATCTTGATAAGTATCACGCTGTATGGAATCTCACACTGATAGAGTCCCACATATTGGTACTTGTTTTCCCCAATTATTGAGAGTCACTCATCAAATTTATGATTTCACAATGGATCCCGAAAGTTTCCAGTTATAATATAAAACCCACGTGAGAGAACTTTTCAGAGACTTTACTTAGATCTGTGAAAACTACATGCACCGGAAGATTTTTATCCCTCACTGCAGCTCAATCTCCACTTAAACTAAAAAGATTTATCGAGTAGGACAGGCCTTTCCTAAGGGCACGATGTTCCCTGAGTTGAAGATAATTCCCATATATATATATATATATATATATATATATATATATATATATATATATATATATATATGAAAATGGCCATTCGAATATTCTTTTTCATCAGTTCGTTGACTAAACTGGTCATACTAACAGGACGACAGTTACCAACTAAGTCTGTACTACCCAACAGATTGCTGCCTTTTTTCAAACTTTTCGCTGTTCAGACTACCTCAAGGACCTATCAAACAGTACTCTCAAAGGTTCAGCGATTACGTCTATCAGGGCTGTCATAATCTTAAGACGAATATCGTTAGGACCACTAGACTTATCTGGTTGGGACGTTAAGGTAATCGCAAGACAGCTCCTTTCTCAACGACCACAAGACCAATCGATAAGTGGACACCTTCACCATTAACTGCCGGTCCTTCACCCTCTCGGCAGAAAACCTTTTATTAAAGTCTTCCCATGCAGCTTCAACCTTCATTACCTCATTTCATGTGATTGTCAACGGATTTTCAAGTATCAAAAAGCGGTGTGATCATATCAGTTCACTGAATTCGCCTCCTTGCATACGAGAACAGTCTTTTTGGACTATTTTCACAATTCCTGACCAATTATTTTTTATATAAAAGTTCGGCCTTACATACCAACCCTTTGATAGGGTTTCTGTTCCCGCAGTAAATAGATATGTACTATTCAGAGGCTGTGGAGATAAACATACTTCAATGCATTTTCCTCGAACTAGGAAAATTTTCAACCCGTATATTTATCCATGATGAATATTTATTCCGTCTGCTTGATGTTAGGCATGATGTAAACGAAAATATGCCTAAGCTAAGGGTACTCTTGGTTATGGACCGTGCTACTCCACTTGACGAGATAGCATTTACTGACCAGTCTGTCTTTGCGGAGCACTTCTTGATAGTGGATATTTTCTCCTTAACCTGACCACATATTGTGTTACAAGCTCTGAACATGAATGAAGAAACGTGTCGCCATTTGCTAACTATGGGAAAACATCTAGATATGTAAGATTCACGGTCGCATGCGCGGTTGCTAAGTCAAATAAAGATCCTTGGTCTGAATTTAATAGTGGAGGGTCAGATGCATGCTGAAATAAAGTATCTTCTATTAACGTCCTCAAGAGCCCACTATCCAAGGAGTTTTCAAATCCCGCAGTGACCACCCTTTGTTCAACTAGTATCAGGTGCAATAACAGGTGCCATTTTTACTCTACGGTGAATGTGCTCTACAATAAGGTCACTAGCTAGGCAGATCGGACTACGATAAATGACACCTAGTACAAATGTGCAACCATCGAAAATCAGTTTACAGCAAGTGACTTCATGGGCTCCACTGCATGAGATTCACAAACAAAGGAACGGATCTCTTTATTATTAAATACGTATATAAAGACTCAAACCTCTTTCCTGCATCCACACTTATCACTACTTAGATATTCGTATCCCCACAATTTTGAAATGGCCTCATAGACTAACCACGTTTTGTCTACAGTTTTGAGGAGTGGTTTTCGTTCGTTCAGTAATACTCCTAGCGGACTTCTAGACGCCTAACCTACGAGCATTTATATAATAAGCCCTTAAAGAGAGCAATCTATGTACACAGGTTTTGGCAACATTCACTTCCAAGACCTGGCTACTCAAAAAATAGGGAAAAGAAATTTTCTTCACCGTTCTCTTGACATGCTTCTAGTCTAGCAAGTGCCACCTTAAATTTTATTCCACCTTCTAGGGACATGTCAAGTTTTACTCGAATGTTGGTGCTGTGTTGACTTTCAGCACTACTAAAAGAAAGATTTCGTCGTTACTGCTACCTTGAAATTACAGTAAGGAGTCTACATGATCGTGATTCGACATTTTTGTTGGTCCTATCACCTATTCCTACCAAGTTTCTGATCTGAACTCCTGTAGAGTCATCTGATAAGATGCTACTAATAAATTCTCCGACCATTTCCCAATCATAAGCGTGTCTGATTTTTGGACCGGAGTCATTTGGAACTAACACATTACGATAACATTCTATATGATCAAACATTTTTCAGCCCGCCAGGGTCACGTTTGATCATACTTTTGGGCTTTGGACATGAACCCTGTGACTGAGAATGAAAGTCTGCCAAGGACGAGGGTTGTTCGTAGCTTGTGTTCTCTCTATTCTTGGTCTCTGCATTTTTGTCCAGTTTTCGTTACCCAGGATAGCCATGTAAAATCGCATTGAAATACTTCTCTTGGTTGGCGTCCTGAGGAAGATGATAAATGATCTTTATCATGATGTCATTAACCAGAAGATAAACAGTAGAGAAAGTTCGGAGATGATTAATACAGACGTGCTACGTAAACAGATTTTGCTATTATTATTTCCCATGAGTTTTAGTGATGGGGATCATTTATATTGATGACAAAGATATTGTTTGAATTTGTCCCTGAACTTTTCTGGTACACGCACTCTTCATATCGATGTATAATGATTTTTATCAATAAACTGACCAATCACTCATGTCACTCTGTGTTCCCATTCAGTCAGCTACCTCATCGACAATTCATCAGTACAAAAGCTGTATAAGTTAACAGACCATGAATGGATTTATAAGCTTGAAATTTCTATCTTCTGAATCCAGTTACTAACTGAATATACTATACCAAACAGTTAGTCAGCAACGACCGAATTATACGGGCGTACATATTTTTGTATGCCATTAAGTGATGGTATAAACTAAACCAAATACGAGGATGAATTTTGACTACGTATATTTCACAGACGCGTAGAATTATAGTCTAGTTGGTTATTAGTGTTACTATAACAATAGACCTAATCGCCGAATTGTAGATTTGCCATGATGTGACTGCATAATCTGGAAGATCTTGCACGGCAGTCCCATCATTGTCTATTCTGACTCGTCGTATCATAAGAATCAGCTACATAACTTCCAATATTTCTGAAGGACACATTTGGGCTGTGTAGAAAGCAATATATTTCATACAACATTCAATAGGTTTTACATATTATGACTACGTCTGCACTGCCAAGTCGGACCACACATTAATCCCTGATACTTCGTTCACCATTGTTGACCTTCTCTTAGTGTAATATGTTGAAAGTGAATCTTCTCAGTGATTGTTTAGGTTCGAAGATTGTGTGGTTGGTAATAAATACCACCACACACTCACTGACCAAAACAGACAATCAGAGATACAAAGTGTCTCACACAAACTTCTTCTTTTAAAACTCTCTTCATTTGGCATACAGAATCCCCTTTTATCTTGGCTCAAATCTTTTTTAGAAGAACGTAGCTAAATCGTTCGCTTTGGATCTTGCTACTCTAAACCTGTAAATGTAACCAGTGGGGTTATACAAGGAAGTGTGGTTGGTCCATTTCTCTTTCTCCTTTTTATCAATGATGTGTGTTCCCTCTTTCAGTATGGTAAGCCTTTCCTTTTTGCTGATGACCTGAAAGTAGTTTATTCATTCTCTTCTTCCACGAAAGAAAGCTATATTTCTGCGGTAATCCAGGAGGAAATAAACAAGTTGTACGAATGGACTATTTCGTGGAATATGCCACTTAATGTTGACAAAAGCGGTTTTATTCACATTGGTCACTGTCTTAACTTAAATCTGACTGTACAGACACATACACTCAAACCTCTCAACACTGTTCGTGACCTGGGTTTAAGATATAGCAACAGTCTGAACTTTTCTGAACACCTTATATCTGAAGTATCTAAAGCTAGAAAGCTGATCGGATTGATAATGATAAACTTCAATAATATCGAATCGAGATTGTTACTATACAGAAAATGTATCTTACCCATTCTTGAATATGGTATTTTAGTTTACAGTAATTGTAGACATAATGATCTGATTAGAATTGAAGGTGTTCAAAGAAAGTTCACCAAAGCTGTTCTGGGGTATTCTGATAACAAAGACTATTACCAAAGATGTCAACAACTCAACTTAGAACCTCTTTGGATCAGACGTATCAAATTAAATCTTGTCTTTATCTACCGGCTCATTAACGGTATTTCCTACTCATCGGTATCTACCCCTTCATACCTTATAATATCATCCCACAATCTACGCAATAAAGAGAACATTCTAGCGATTCCAAGAACCCACACAAACTTACGTCAGAATTTTTTCCTTATTCGCTACTCAACCATGTGGAACAGACTGCCGGTGAACCTCCGTTGCAGTGAAACTACAACCCGGTTCAAAAGTCTCCTTGACGATTTTCTTTCCGAAAGTG